AGAAGTATGAATGAAAACAAACAATAAATTGCTTATCTTTTTTTATACCCCTCGGAGGGAAATCAGGTGCTGGGCATAATTAGGTGTGGGGCAGGACCCAATCAGCGTCCCTCCGCAGAGTGCTTACCGCCGCTCATTGGTGTCTGCGCATATATAAGCTCAGTGCTGGAGCTCGGCGAAGGCACTCGGCTGATACGCTGGAGGTGGTAAGTATGGCTTATCTATTACTGAACACACTGCTTTTCTGATGGCAGATTGAACGGAAGCCATGCCTACTCACCAGGTAACTTTGTTGTCATGGTGAGGCTTGGAAAGAGGAGGAATCTGGTAGCCTCTGCTTCCCAGCCCGTTCAAAGGTGGCCTCTGGTCCAGGGACTGCCTGTGCTTTCAGCAAGATCTGAATAAATCTGAAAAGCGGTGGAGGTTCTGGCTTTACGCTACAAGGTCAGTCAGGTGGTGGAGTGGGTTGTCTGGAGAACTTGTGCAGCCTCCATCCTTGGAGGTTTTCAAGACCCGAGAGGACAAACCCTGAGCAAGCTGGTCTGAACTTAGTGCTGACCCTGCTTTGAGTGCCTTGGGCACTCCGTGATTTTGTTAAACTGATGTTGCATTTGTCTTGCTTAGTGACAGCAATACTATTTCTTTAAAATGAAGCGAGAAAATGGCATTTTGCTTTGAATGGGGCAGGTTCACAAGTAACTCTCTCTGCCCTGCTGAGTTCATCTGATTTTCCCTCAGTTTACTTAATGAGTGTCTTGATGTTCTTCCTTTTGAAGTTATCAACGCAGTCTGATAACCTAATAACTGCAATCTCCTATCTGCAAAGTACTCTATAAACATTAGCCTATGCTCTTTGCCATGTATTTTTAGTAAGTGGCAGCAGCTGCAGAATTGCATGTTAGCATGCGCGGTCTCTTGGCTTGCCTCCCAACTCCAGTGGATATTTCCATTTATCCTTTGTCCAGTCTTGTGACGTCTCAAGCTTCTCTATTTAGAAGAGAGTAAAGGGGCCGTTACAGGACACCCACAATTTGATGGCTGATCAGATGACAGCTGGAGCTTCAGGCAGGGGTTAGGAGGAGTATTAGGACATAGATAAGGGTTTTGGTAATCAAGAAAGGACATATTTTTGCTTTGTGTTGTAAGGTGACTTGAAATTGCACTGTAAGAAGCATGGGGAGATGTTTGCTCTGGATGTTGTTCCTCTCAGCCATCCCTGGTGGCAGTTGGACTGTCCACAGTGGCCCCATTCCCCCTTTCATGCCCACCCAGCCTGCATGGTTGTGGGATATGACTGCTGAGACCATCAGCAGGGGAGCGCCTCACTGGTGTTGTGTCAAGGCCTCCAACAGACGGGAAGGTCAGATTTGTCTCATCCTTTGGCACTGTTTCTGGTCTCCCATAGATATTATTAGAGTTCCTACACTTCAGGCAGTTTTTAAGGTTACTTTCAGAGCCATGTGATTTTGGACGTAATGTAATACGAATCCAGACCTAGGGCACAGCGATGCAGAGATGGACCCAGATCTCTGGATACAGACACCTGGGCAGTTCTGCAGCACCATGCCAGGAACTAACCAACCTTTCAGGAGATACATGAGAAATCCTCCAGCAGAGAGGAATTTAGATGTTGACCTAGTCAAGGGGCAGGTCTTGTTTCTTTGTTCTTTGGGCCTCTAGAAAATGTGTCTGTATCCACTCAGGGTAGGCAAACAAATGAAAACCCCACTCTTGCCATTTTTCTTATATCAGATGTTAAGGGAACTGAACACAATGAGCAGAACGCAACTGTATATTACAAGGTGGAAAACCAGTAATGCTCTTCCCTCCATGCACCAGCCACCTCAGCATGGCATGCTGCCTCCAACACTTGGCTTTAGGGCTGGGCTGGCTGCTCCTGGGAGGGGTGATGCCAGGGTCTGTGCCACTTCTCAGAGGTGGCGAGGGAGGTGCTTGGATGCTGCTGTTCCCAGGCGGGTGTCCAAGGGGTGTCCAGGTGCTCCTGAGCCCCCGGGGAGCTTGCCCGCCCTCACCCAGGGCTTGGCAGGTGGTTGTCCGCACAGTTGGACACGTGGTGTTGGCTGCTCACGTGCTCAGCTGAAACATGAAGTGGCTCTGGGGACACCAACCTAAACTGAGAGTGCAAACCCCAGCATGGAGGGGGGCCAGTGGCACCGTGCCCTCTCCAGCGATCCCTGCAGCTTGATGTTGCTCCTGCAGCTGCCCCCCGGGGAAAGATGGAGCACAGGCAGCTCACCCATGCATCTGGGGCTGGAGGGCAGAGGGGGCTTGCGTGGGGCCCCACAGCCGATGTCGGCTCCCCCCCCCGACTGGGGCTGGAACCCACCAGGGCAGAGGGAAACGACTTGCAAAAGCAGCGCTAATAATTTCAGCCCCCTGCCTCTCCTCTCTTTCCACCCCACAGCAAAATGGTGGAGATGGGCATTACCAGAAGAAAAAAAGAAGAAAAATACTTGTAAAATGTAGTTTGCCAACATTTTAATTGGTAACCAGTGACCTCAATTGTGAAAGCGTGATAACCACCTCTGATACACTGTGGCTTATCTCTTCTTTACCCACAAGTGACTTTTGCTCCTTCCCAGTTAATTCACTAGGTAAACAAGGATTTGCTTGGGGAGATACACTCAAGGCCGACACAAATCCTGGCTTGCAAGGAAAGGAACTTTTTTTCCCCCTTTAATCCCTGCCAAGAAGCTAGAGGTTTGGCAGAGGTGGGGAAGAACGCCAGGAGGCAAAATTTGCAGGGAGAGCTTTTGTCTGACTGGCTGTGGGGTCGAAGCTGTTTTGGTGTGACTGCCCTACACCCTCATGGTCTTTCGCTGCTTTGTGGGGCCAGGATTGGTGCCTCTGGCTCAGCATCTGACATGGGGGCAGCCCAGCGTCCCCTGCCTGCCATCCTGCTTTGAGTTTGGTTGCAGGGCCAGGCAGGTTGTTGACCTCCATCTTCAAGATGCCCTAGCACCTCTGGCTGAGAAGGAGGCTTGGCTGCATGCTGTGGGCTGTTTCAGCCCTCTGCTATGGCTAGAATATCAGTGTGGTGTACTTCTGTGTTTCAGGGACAGCTCAACACACAGGTAGCGAACCACAGCCCCATCCTGCTGACCAGTGGGGAAACCACCGGGAAAGCACGGCGCGAACATCAGGTAGTCCCGACACGCTGCTTCAGCGGAGCTCCCTCCAAGTGGGTGAAGCAAGCAAGCAAGCAGCAGGAGGATGGCAGAAACGGTAATTAAGGCTGCTGCTGGGCTCACGTGTCAAGCCACAAATTAATTAGATAATCAGGACCCAGCCATAGCAGCGTGCTGTCCCCTTGGCTGGCCGTTATGTGTCAGCTGGGCTTCGCAGGCACTGCAGGCAGCCTGGGTGTCAAGGAGGGGCAGAGAGGTGGCTCTATGGCCTCAGATGGTGCTCCGAGACATGTTGTCCTTCACTATCTGTGATGCACATGTTGGCTCCAGCATCCTCCTGTCGGCTGCCTGAAATCCTTCCCTGGGGCAGTAGCTAGAGTGGATTTCCCACATCCCCTCCCCTCCACGTGGCAGCAAGCGTGGTCCTTCTGCAAGTGATCCTCTGCGTTTAGAAAGGAGATACTTGTTCTTTGTGTCACTGGTTTGGTTCTATCAAATTTCAAAATTACATCTTTGTTCTCAGTCTGAAGTTAAATGTTGAAGGAAGGTCCAACACCATACACTTGAGAATTTCTACTACTGTAACATTAACGAGAGCATTGCACTTGCTTTAATTGCACCACAGTAGTGTAGAAAGATAGGGCAGACTATGGTACAACAAGCAGGTTAATGCCAACTTCCATCATCAATCGAAGTAAGGTACAAGTCTCCAACTGCGACCCTACTGGGTTGCAACCTCCCTTTATTCAACAAAGGCTGAATCAGGGCAAATTAATTCTGTGAACAAGACAGAAAAGAAACTTCCAATTACCAGAATCATGTGTCTTTTCTCCGTGTGGCTGGTTTAGCACAAAAGAGTGACTGATGAATTACAAAGGGTCGCACCAGAGTCACATCAAAACTCCATGTAACCCTCGTTTCTGCTATTGGTCAGCTGCAGATGCTGAGAATACTCTATAAAATCAGACCCCTCCTTTTGTCTCTATACGTACTAGCAAAACAGAGGAGCCAGCACAGCAAACTGACATGTTCACAGAGTGCAGGCACCATTAGTGCCAGTGTGTTTAAGAGCAACTAATGAACTCAACCTTCGCAAACTTGTTTAACCCTTTTCTGGTCTCACTTTACCTGCTCTGCTTCTCTAGTTGTTTCTGATAATTTCATTTTGCCTTATTATTTGATGCTGAGAAAAAAAAAAAAAATTCTCTGTCACCTTCTCCAGATCCTCCAGGATTTACAGCCTGCTCTCACCGCCAACCACCTGTCTCATTTCCAGTCTGATGAATCCTCATCCATTTAAGCTGTTTTACTGTGGAACTTGCTCTGTGCCCCTGAGCACCTTTGCCACCCTTCCCTGACATTTTGTTTCTACTGATTCTCTTTTTTCACTTTTAACACACTTGGTTGCCAGAGTAGAGGTGTCCTCTGGCCCTTTGAGGACCACTACCACCATACAAGTATTCTCAATTTTTTTCTGGATAGACTTATCTGCAGTTTCTTCACTGCTAGGGCGATGAAGTAATTCATTCTTGACCGAATAATTAAATACAGAACACCAAATTTTCTAGTACACGGGATGCTTCAATGTACTTTAGAGTAGCAGAAGATTTACTGGAGATGGTGGCCAGATGACAGTTTACCACATACGTGATCTAGTATACCACGCCGAAAGAGCAATTTATGCATCTGTAGAACTGGGTTATTGAAATGCTGGTAGGGATGCTCCACGCAGGCTGGCCACCCTGCTTTCACATCCAAATGTAATTTCTTGCCTTCCAAAATTATTACCCAGGTGTCTGGCTGCCCACTTTTCCTCCCAGGTGACTGTGGGTCTCTACTTCCACAACACAGGAGCTGACCGAGGAGTGCCTGCTCACGAACGGCAGTTGCCTGGGAAGTCAGGAAAGCAAAGCTGACAGCCCATGGGTTCTTCCTGATTTGCCCAGTAAGTGCACATGGACAGCTGCAACGCCTGCCACCAAGTCTCCACACTCCTGTGTGCCCTTGTAAGTAATTCTTTCATGCTGATTATTCCAAAGTGCAGGCAGCTCAGTATCTTTTTCTGAAGACAAGTTGTTACATCAGGATGGTCATGATCAGAAGCCAGTAGTGTGACAGTATTTTAATGATGGTTTATTTTCCAGAAGGCAAAACCCACCTACTATCTCCTCTCCACAAAGAGCTTTCTCACTCCCTTTAGCCTTGCATAAAAACGTGGCTGGCTCGAGACTCAGCTCTGTTTTCCAGCACTCATTTGAAAGCATCTGCTAGTTTGGTGCATCTTATTTTAGAAGAATCAAGAACTTATTTCAGAGGTAGTTTCAGCCAGGGACTTGTACGCTTCTGCAAAGTGGACTCAGTGATGTCTGGTGTTGTACAGCAGAAGTGAAGGCGTTCCTGACTGCTAGATGCTCGAGGAGATGCAGTAATGGCTCTCCTGGTTGGAGTGTAATGCATGCAATACACCCCAAAGCTGCTGCACCCATCCTGTTGTACAACACAGTCATTAATAGCCAGGCAGTCCTCAGTTGAAGGGCTGCAGCTGGCTGCCCTGCAGCTGGCTGCCCTGGCTCATTCAAACAGTCTGAAGCTGTGCATAAGAAGATTTCAAAGCACTAGCAATGTCTTTACCGATGGCTGAGAGACCTTCATGAAAACAGGCTTTTAAATAAGCAGAAAGTGGCCCACACAGAGGTTGCCCACTCTGCATAAGCAACCCAAGAGCACAGTGCAAAGCAAAGTGATTGCCGTGAACGGTTCTTGTCCTCACAGCAGCGGGTTTCCTCCCAGAGTGAGGTAAGCTTGCAAAAGTGCCCAGACTAAACTCGATGAAAGGTGCTTTTATGGCCTGGCAAACCAGACCCAGACAAGCTATTAAAGATAAGGCTGTCCCGTAAATGTCAGGGGAACTGCGGACACATCCCTGGCTGTGCCAATGATGTAAAACATGAATTCATCTCCAGCATGTGAGGAACTGGAGCCCATGGGAGGTGCAGCACTGCTCTGTGTGGGATGCCTGCCAGCTGGGAGCTGGCTGGGGGAGCTTCATACCAGCATGCCAGGCGGGACATGACCAGAGCACAGCCAGCAGCATGTGCGACGCCAAGAACAGCCTCTCTGGGTCTGGCCCATGAAGGCATGAGGAGTGGGCTCCACAGCTCCAGAGCTGACCCAAAAAATGTGCATACAGACACTCACCCCGTGCAATCCCTGCAGCTAGTGCCTGAGGATAGGCTCAGCTCTTTTCAGTCAGACTGGTTGGGTTTTTTTTTTCTCAGTTATGGTGCTGAGCAGCATAACATTCTCGGTTTTTAGCAACTTAGTATCAGGGAGCCACAGGGCAGCAAGGCCGGGCTGGTGCCAGGGTCCCATCCCATTCCCCCAGCCAGGATTTGGGCAGCTAGAGGTGGGCACTGGGGCAGCCCCAGCCCTGGGCATCGGGCACCTCCCTGGGGATGGGATCTGGCTGAACGGGGCCCATGCAGCGTCGCTGGGGCAGGGACTGAAACATAGTCCACTGCAGAGCAGTGAAGAAAATTCACTGGGCAATGCCACATCGTTTCTTTTGCTTTGCAGCAGTGCATGGAGAGGGTTGTTTGGTATCTCTACTCTGGGTAAACCGCAGATGGAAGCCAATGTAGCAAAAATCTCTGGACTTTCTGAGATTCCCAGGTGAAACCTGGTTGAGTTTCGGGGGTAGAAGAAGAGGATGAGGGCAGAGGGAGAAGACATGATGGGATTTTAATTAAGAATATTAATTATTTAAATTCTTCCAAAGATACAGAGGTAGACTAATTCTGATATCCTTTGAGCCAATTCTGAGCCACTATAACCTCAGCATGAATCACTTTGTTTGCCAGGACTGGTTTTCCCCCAGGCATCTTGTGGAATAACATGCCAGAAGCAAAAGCAGGAATCTTGGAGAAAAAAATGTCCTTTCCCACTGTGATCCTGAAATGATACCAGCAGTTTCAAGACTCGAGTGTCCCCAACACATCTTTAGGAGCACCAGAGACATTCGCCACAGATCCTTGTATCCCCATAGACTTGCTGCCTTCAGGCCCACACACAGAGCTTATACAGCTGGGGAAGGAAGCTGACCATGCTACTACTATTTTTGTAGTAAAATATGGTAGTTATTAGGAAAGGAATTTGATAGGAACTGCAGAGAATTTGCCCCATAGTAAGAGAAAAAGGCTATTGTTTTTAGGGGACGGTAGCTAGAGGCATTGCAAAAGAGCAGTCCGGTTTCTGGTTCCAACTTTTGCCCTCCTGGCAAGGCTCGACCTGGAATGCAAGGCAGCCCAGGTTGCTTTCCCCTTCCCCATCCCCTCACCAGATCCCACAGCACCTTGCTGTGCCGCATCATGCCTTGCTGGGATTCAAAGGGCACGGTAGCATCTCATTTACTAGCTGAAGGTAAATAAATTTCTTCTCCTGAGCTGACTTCCTGCAATCTAGATGTGTAACGTAATATGCGAGTCACCATCTTGAAAGATGGGCTCTAGTTAAACACTGCCTGAAGGAGCTGGAGTCTCCTGGTACCATGGCTTAGCCCCACTGATATTCCTGAGCATTTTGGTGGCTTTTAGAGCAGATGGAAAATGGCTTCAGCTGTGGGGGAAGCTCATTTATTGAGTTATTGCCTCACATTTACCAGCACTGAATAGAGGTTGCGATGTGCATGGTAGCTCTTTCCATGGAGGGAGAGGTAACAGCAAAGCTGACTCCTTTTGATAGTAAAGACCTGCACTAAACCACTACCCCTGTACTTTTGCAAAGCAAGAAGTGTTTATATCACGCTTGCAAAACCTGGAGGGAAGGGTGTGTGTCTAAGTAAATCAGTATGCCATCCCTTCACCATATGGACTTTCTGTCAGCAGACAGCCGTGATAGCAGACAAGGATAACTTGGGTTCAAGGTTCAAAGGATGATAGTAGGTGAGAGCTGTGCAAAGGAGAGCTGAGCAGCGAGGGAGTGGGGCTTTGTCAACCCACTCAGAGGGATCATGCTGGCTGTCAACCAGGAGCAATACATTTGTGGCCCCAATAAACACAGTCCTTGTCAACCTTTTCCCTCTGTCTTTTAAAAAGTTCAAGGACACAAGTGCCCTGGCTGCGTGGCAAGATGCATTTAGTTGTGCATAGGGCAAAGAAGTCTTTTTCATTCTGGTTGCAATTGCTGTGACATGGTTCTTGGCTTCTGCCAGAGTCTGACAGAGACTAGCAAAACTGGGAGGCTGGATTGCACTGATCCAAGAGCTCAGTTTAATTATTTGCAAAAAAAGCCTCTGGAGTCCTCTGTGACTTGGGCCTTTCTGGTGGCTTGGGGCCATCCTTGCAAGTCCAGGAGTCCTGTCCAGGCAAGAAACTGCGGCCCAGAGATGGCTGGAAATGAGAAAAGCACAGGTTGTGCTGGGTAGGACAGAGGAAAGAGGAGGAGGCTTGTGTGTGTTGTGCATGGCCTTCTGGCTTTCTCAGCCACTACATAAAATGCCGAGGCTTATCAGCTCTTCTCACTTCACTTAGTTATAGGCCTGGCCTAGGGCCTTGCAGAACAAGACCTTTCCAAACAGCGCTGGAAATTATTTACTTTATTTTTTATGCAAAATAATCAATAACTCATTGTAAGAGTGATGGAAAACCATAACTTGCTCCTGTTGCCATTGTCAATGGAGACTTTTTCTCCTGGAGTTGGGGTGTCTTTCAGTGGCCTTGCCAAAGTTGCTGAAACCTCGCTCATATTTTATCTAAGTTCATGTTGCATAACAGTTGCTTTGGTTTGACGCATTTCTTTTTTTTTTTCCTGCATTATTTCAGGCCAGAAGAAACAAAGATCTTGCCCAACATCCTGAAGAAAATTGGCTGCACGCCAATGGTTCGAGTCAACAAGATTGGGAAGTCCTATGGGCTCAAGTGTGAGCTCTGTGAGTGTCCCTTTTCCACCAGGTTTTTCTGTGCCATGAGGTGAGGGTGAGGGGCGGTGCTGGAGGGGGGGTTCAGAAGAGGCTCTGTGGAGAGAAAGCACAGATGGGGAGGGCCAGATGTGGCACGTGTTGGGTATTCCCACTTATTACATTACACTGCAGTCATTTGTCAGACCAAACAGGATGGTTTCAAACTGGTTTCCTCCACTAGGGAGGCATCTCTCCTACCAAATAACTGCAGCGTAAACTCAGAGCAGAACTGGGCTGAATTTGGGGATGGGTGGATGACATCATGGCAACGGGAAGAAATGCTGCAGCACCCAGGGCAGCACGCAGCACGCACAGGAGAGACTGGCAGAGACTTCCCAAAACATGGTGGCTGGGATGGGGCGAAGGGCATAGTAGGACTCTTCCTGCAGCCTGCCTGGGAAGAGGGAGCAGCTCGGGCTGTGGGGAACAGACACCAGCGTAGCCCCTGGCTGCCAGGCAGACCTCCCACACAGGAGGGACTCTGCTCTGCCCTGGCGTTGTCTCCACCAGGTCAGCTGGAGCTGGGCCAGGTGCTGTCTGCTGCATCCGTGTCCTGGGGGCAGCAATAGCTTCCCTGGGGGACCTTCCCAAAATGCAGTCCTGGGCAGAGCAGCAGCATCTGCAGACAGCTGGGTTTATCAGATACACGCGTGCCAGGCCCTGGTGCTAAAAGCCAGGCCATGACACTGGCTGCGGGGCCAGGTTTTCCAGCAGGACCCAAGTCCTCCCCTGAGGGGATGTTAACTGTAGCGCTGATGTTATCTCATGTAAGGGTTGGTTTTAGCCCAGTCCCCTCCAGTCAGAAGGATGATAAGATTAGACTGTCTCTGTGCATATGGACTTTTCAGTCCCCTTTCCTATTACATTTAACCCTACTAATTAATTTCAGCCAAACTGGGCAGAAAGACAGATGTCTTACAAGGCAGCAAGATTCATGAATGTCACATAGCTGGGTAAGGAGGAGAGGCTTGATGAGTGCTCACGGTCAATAAAAAGGCATGGCGGGACCTTGTGGTCCTGTTTGGCAGCTGGGAATCCGCACAGCAGCCAACCTCCGCTGGGCACATGGCCACATGAAACATGCCGTGCTCTTCAACCAGATGCCTTCTCAGGATCTGGGATCCTTGAGCCCCTAACCCTGCAACCTCTATGTTACACCACCTCTCACTTCCCAGAATGAGACCTCAGGGGATGGTAGGGGACCGTGGAACAGAGATGGTGGAAGCAGAACGACAGGTCTGCAATGTCAGGCCCACGTCTGAAGCAGTCTGTCTCTTGGAGGTTGTCTTGCTGGCGCCTTGGGGCATGGGAGGATTTGGTGCAAACAGCGGTGGGCAAGCCAGGGAGACCCTGTTTGCTGGGATGTTGTCTCCCTCCCCTGGTGCAGGAGGGGAAGGAGAGCAGGACAGGCAAAGCAGTTGCAGGGCCCTCTCTGAGCTGCAGGTCAGCACAAAGCCTCTTACCAAGCAAATACATGAATGCTCGCAGCACTGTTGCGTCACAGAAGCAGTTACAGTTGGATGTGATCACCTTGTAATCTCTGTGCCTCCAGGGATCTCTGTGTAGCTAGAGTTTTGGCACTTTGCATTATAAAATGTAATGATGAGCACAACATGGGGTTTTTTCCCCATTCTGGCTGCTCAGTTTTCAGGTGGTTTTCTCAGCCTCAAATAGCTGTCTCTGCTAGGATTAAGTGAGTGACATCCTGAAAGTACCCATTTCTCCTTGTGGTCCATAAGAAAGAGCTCAGTACCATCAGTTCGGATGTAGATGCTCATCAAAACCTTGGTAAGAAGAGTCCTGCCCTGAGCATTAGCAATGTGGAGGGCCTGATTAGGACTTGAGGTGTGCCTTGCAGTTTGAGCATGCCTTGGAAAGTCACTGTTACTTGTTTTTTCAGTAGCTCAGTGAATTAATGATAATTTTGGCTGACACTTGAAAGTGCTCTTTCTATTGTTTTTTTTCCTTTATGGCACCCCGTTCAGGACTATAGATCAACACTACAGAAGCGGACCTTTTTTGATACCTATTAATAACTGTTATACCCCAGCAAAGACTGTGAGACCTTACTGCTAACCCTGACAGTATCTCTTCTCAGTGTATCTTGCTCAGAGAAATGTCCTCAAGGCAGAGCAGCAAGGTGTATTGCACCAGTGTGAGACTTTCCCCACCTAGCAATCCCTGTATGTGCAGTTGATTTTAAACCCATCGTGAACTTACCAGGCCTGCCCGTTGCCTTCAGGATGCTGCAGGTAGACGAATCATGGGGGCAAGATGGACTATGGGCAGGTAGGCTGATAGGTAACCCCATGGCAAGCTACAGCACCCTGTAAGCAGATGGTGGCTGTGCTCCCCTGAGCAAAGGACCATCCCGCAGAGGAGGAATGGGTGTCCTCAGATGACTGCAGCAAGGGCTGGGGGCGCAAGGAACTGGTGCTCCTAGCTGCAGCTTATCCCTGACAGAGCCTCCCCTTTCATTTCCAGTGGTAAAATGTGAGTACTTCAATGCGGGGGGCAGTGTGAAGGACCGCATCAGCCTGAGGATGGTGGAAGATGCAGAGAGAGCTGGGATTATAAAGCCAGGAGACACGCTGATTGAACCCACTTCAGGAAACACAGGTGAGAACGGCAGGGATGCTCCCTCTGCCTGGGTACTGGGCAAGGTGGCATTTCTTAGGGGTTGCAGGAGGGGCAGGGATTCCAGGAGCTCTTGCACTGGCGACACAAGGTTAGCTTGAAGGCCCACGACTCTGGCTTCATCCTCCCCTTGGCTCCCCTCCCAATGGCCATGGGCATCCTGGGGTGCCAAGGTGCTTCATTACTGAAATTCCCAAGGGTCTGTGAGGGTCCCATGCCTGCACAGGTGTGCCCACCAGGTTACCTTGCAGCAAGGCAAACAGCCTTGGGAGCTGGAGGAGTCAGGGCAACCCTGAGTGTTTTCAGGCTGGAAACCTCTTGAATATTCCGAGGTTCCCAGAGGAAGTTTCCCTGATGGGCTGGAAGATAAACCATCTATTTGTTTTCCTTGTCACTGTCATTCTGCTCAGGCATTAGACTATGGTGGGATACAAGGTGAGGGGGCACGATAGAGAAGCATCCCTGCTATTCTGCAGCCTGCACAAGACCATTGGTGCAAGTTTCCATGGCCCTTTGCTGCTCCCTGCAACGGTGTGCCCACTGTGTCAGGGACATGTGTGTGCATAGTGTGCTTTCCTGAGAGAAGGCACAGTGGAGGCTGTTGAGGTGCTCTGGACACAGTTGGGGCCGTGTCCCTCGATGTGCCCCCTACCTCCCCCTCACTAGCCATGCAAAACAGGGCTTGTCTCTAGGAATTTTACTCCTTACTGGCCCATTTGCTGCAGGCTCCCCAGAGCCAGCCCCCCTCCCTTTTCCCCAGACAACCCTCGGATG